ATTTTACCCCGTCCGCGCGGCGGCGCTATATAGCAATAATAAAGGCGCCGCTCTGGTTTGTTTGTTTCCTGTAGTTTCTAATTCTTCTTCTGCTATTTAAGTTCATTGGTTATATAAAATTGCCTTTTTTCTGCTGGAAACTTGACAAGACTTACCTTTATTGAATAAATAATTCAAATTAATCAGCTAATTGTTGATTTTATGAAACAAAGGTAGGTGTGTCTACATGTACCGTGCATTGGTCCTTTCAAAATAATTATTATCAACACACTTCACTAAAAAAAGTTGCAAAAATAAAAATACAAATCAGAAGCCAGAAAAATTGTAATCACCACCAATGTGTTGTTTGCCATAGAATGGTGTACGTGTGGTGTTTGGAAATTCTAACTACATAGGTCTTCATTGTTTTAATAGAGACCCATCGTGTTTTCTCATCCGTAATTCAGGTAAATTATAGTCCTGATGATTTTTCAAAAGCCAGCCACTATTTTATTTGCATAATTACGTGCCACGAACGTCTATCAGAGTAAAACTTCACATAATAAGATGCGCACGGTAAGCCGCCTAATAATCACATTGCTTTATACTGTAAAGATGTTTTGTAATATTATACTGACTAACTCTTAAAATACGTTTTCAAATGTAATTTCTGGCACATTATTTATATGTTTTATTGTACAGACTTGCACCATAACGATCACAATTTTTCGTGAAATATCAAAAATGTAATTATATACACCAAAAATAGCAAAGCTTTATATTTAAGTCAAATCTCAAAATATACTTTACAAGAACTTTCTGGCAACTTTTTTTTTTATCCCAAGGCACACGGTTCACGTGTTGGAACGATCAGCACGTGATATTATAGTAATTTAACTGTAATTGAACAATACATTTTGGCAATAAGCAAGTGTTTTTGTGCGCCTTTCCCTCCTTTGAAAATTATGTAGGATGTTTTATATAATAATTGTATTAGAAATAAATATAATAGCAAATTTGCATTTATACCAATTCCTTTTTCTTTCTTAAAAAAAAATCAGAAATTTAAAGTAAGCCAGAACACATGCATTCAGTAACCATACACAAACGTACTATATTTCAAAATGACAATACCTTAATCGACAGTGTCACAACAAAGCGCCAAGTTTGTGTCGACAAACGATGGCGCTGTTTCACAGTTTAATATTTCAGAGTTACAGTTCCGTTTTCTGTTTTTAACTTCTCAGTGAGATTTTCTTGAAGTCGCATATCAACAATATGGTCGCACAATACATGACTTTATGATTTATAGCACATTGTCACATGATACGTGATACATTATCATATAATGATAGTCAGAGCTAGCAATAAACTGCCAGTGAACATTATGTGAAGTCATGATATTATTGAGTAGATCATGACCGAAATAATCAACATTAATGAAAGGTTCTGACTAATTAAGTGGCTCACTGTTTCGAACGCAGAATAACGTAATTGAGATATTGTTTGTAATTTGATTATAGATTTCTTTTTACGAAATATATATATATATATATATATATATATATATATATATAT